CTATAGTAATTTATATATAGAACTGCGTCACGTTTCACTATGATCATTCTTCAGTTGACTGGAGAATCGTCAATTAAATGACCAAGATGGTTATATAAAGTTGAATATGGCCAATACTATACCATTGTGATATCGTATCGTTGCCTTTAGAATGTTTGATAACGGTAAGTTAATAGAACTATAGTAAATTGATATAATTAAAGCTATTAATGTTGGTCTTTCATTATCCATTCTTAGAATTGTTTATTTAAGCAATATTTTTTATTATTTGTTATCAGGCTGTGTATAGTATATGTATTAATGAGAATTGTGAAATTATATATATTGCTAAAAATAAAATTTTATTTAAAATAGGTGAATATGAACTTGCGAAGTTTATGGGTTTAAAAAAAAACGCAGATGAAAATGAAATTATTTATTATTAGGTGGGAACATGGTGTGGTGATTAGCATTTCTTTTTAAAAACAACATTTTGTCTACCAAATTAGGATCAAGACAGGTCCTTCTAGCAGAAATATGAGTATTCGCATCAGAAAACAAGCGCTCTGATGGAACTGATGTGGCAGGAATAGATAAATATTTACGGGCAAGTTGACCAAGGAGTGAAAAACTTACATGTCTTTCTTCCCACCACATTAGAGGATTTTGATGTTTATTTGCCTTTGGTTTTTTCATATACCGTGTAAATTCATCTTCATTAATATCATTATCAGGTATTGACAATGATCCTTATAATTCGGTACTTAGAGAATCTTAAGGGTTTTCATTAATAGTTACCGGGCTTCTTACTGCTTCAATATTACTCGAAACATTTATTTGTGTTTCAAGCAATGATAATTCATTACAGACTTGCATTTTAGTTTTTTCTTGTTCTTGAATTGTGGCAAATGGAAGTAATTTAAATCGGGGGTCTAAAATAGAAGCTTTTAAACCTATTACATTAGATGTATTCCATAGCTCATCAAGTGACAAAAAAATAGCAGCTCGTGCTTTTTCTAAAAGCCCAGAGCAATCTACAGGTAATAAGTATTCTACAGTATTAGAATCTTCCAGGTCTGTGGGCACTTTTTTTTTTTAATTTTATGTTTTTTATGATGCCCACAATTTTTATTACGATATGCACTTCTATGTACATATTGCCATTGTCGACGATTTCCTGCTGATGGTATATCAGCTTCATTATCACTACTAAGACTTGAATTGTCGCTAGTATCTTGGTCTTCTGAGCCATAGATTAGATCAATCCAAGCTTCAAAAGATTCACTATCTTCACTTTTAGGGGTGAATTTTTTTTTTAAAGTTCGAACGTAGGGATATACGATATTTAAAGTAGGATACTTTGATCCGCAAACATGTCTTGTAATTTCTTCAAATAGTTTTAAAAGATCAACCATTTGCTCTGTAACCCTTTTTTTTAAAAAAAATAAAAAATAAATTTATAGTAATATATAATAAGTATATACTGAATTAATTCGTGTTAACTAATTAAAATGTATATTACAGATCACATGTTGTATAAAGACAAACTATTTAAATGAGTGATGGTTAGCGAAAACCTGCTTTTATTCAAAAAAAATGTAGGTTTTCACTAGCCGTTACTCAAATAGTACTAATACATACTCTTGTTCTTCTGCAGTTAAACACAATTTTAGTAGCTTTTCACCTTCTTGTTTAGAAGCAGCATCTGATTTATTTTGTAATATAGTCGCGAGTGTAAGCATAGCCGGGTGTAATGATAAAATTCTTTTCCACGCCAAGTAAGTCGAATTCCAACAGGTCTTACAATCAGTCAGAACTTCGAGTAGATTTACTACTTCGTCTTCAGTATCACTTTGAATCATATCAGATGAGTCTACTTGCATTTGTATTTGCTTTTGTATATCTCGCAAACGTTGTGCCTGTTTTGGAAGTTTAAAGAACGTTTGAAGGCTTCGAAGTCGTTTATGAATTGGTTTGACTTGTTTTAACCCCTCTCTTACTGAAAGCTGAAGAGTATGGGCAACACACGACTGCCAATTAATATTGGGAAAGTGATTTTCTTTTAACAAACTGATACCTTTTATCATATTCGCCCCATTATCTGTTACAATTGTATGTATTTTATTTACTAATTCCCATTTATCTATAACACTAAATAATTCTTTATTAATATTTTGACCTGTATGTAGATACGGTATATGGTGATTTGAGAGCAATGCTTCCTAAAGTCTAAAATCAGAAGTTAACCATGTTACGGTAATGCCAAGGTAACTATGATTACTTTTCACGGTCTATAAGTCTGTTGTTAGATTAACTGTATTGATGTTTAATAATAACTCTTCAAGTTGTTTTTTTCTCCACACATAGGCTTCAGAGATATATTTTTTAATGGTCTTTGTACATAGTATTTGATATTGTGGTTTAAAGCCAGTTAGAAGTTTACGAAATGCGCAATTTTTTAATATGTTCAAGGGTTGAACATTGTATACAATGAATTTAACTACAAGCTTTGTTAATTCTCGCTGTTGTGTGGGTGAAAGGGAAGGTAGGTCAAGATCTGTTGAATCAACGGATCGGGCTATTGGCTTTAAAAAAATAAAAAAAAAAATTAAAAAATTAAGCACCTTAGTTAATATTTACAATTCTATTATAACAATAATAATTTTTACTTCTTCATTATCATCAAGATATTTTTTATAATTCTTTGAAGTTATGTGATGCTTTTCACGCAGATGTTTTACTAAGTTTCCTATACTGCTTTTTGATTTAACGTATGGATACGGTTGTGCATCAATTTCGTCTAATTCATCTAATTCCTGAATGCAAATCTTACAGTACGTAACTGTATTATCAATTTCATCATCTTTATAAAAAAACCGCGTAAAAGTGGCATTTGCTCTTGGGTTTGGGTTTGATAAGTTACTAGTGCTAGAAGCAACAGATGAAATTGATTGGGCTCTTGTTTTTTTAGTGATTCTTTTTTTATTTTTTTTATTAAGAGTGCTCATTTTTTAAAGCGAAGCTTTTTAATAAATAATGTGACTTTAAAACAGAAAATTTTAAGAAACTTTAATGAATTAGAAACGGATAAATGTCGATTATTTATAAAAAAATTTTTATTAAACAAGAAATAATATACATTTTTTTTCAAATAAATTATTTAAAGATTCGTTAATATATAGTTATACCTACACTAATTGTATCTTATTGACAAAAAATTCAATATACAGTCATACTCCTCTTAGTACGACTGACTTCTAAATATAATGTTTGGTTATTTTCTCTTATGATCTCTTCTAGGAGGTCTGATTCCAATAATTATCTATACCTCTCTCTTAGATGCGTGTTTGGTTATAGCTACCTTGATACTGTACTTAGGAGGTTTATCTATATTAATGACAAGAAAATTATACTCCTCTTACAATGCGCATTTTGCTATTTTTTTTATGACCCTTTTGAATAGAAGGTTTGACTATGAAAACTATTCATTTGACAAGTCATACTCTTAAGTATATATTTGATTATCCTCTCTTTGGCCCCTCGGCATCATATTTGGGAGGTCTGATTATACCAATGATTAAAAATAATATCATACTCCTCAAGTGCAAACTCTATAATAAACCTGTAAGTTTTCACTTGGCAGAACTCTTAATGGTTTAACCCTAAGTCCCTAAGTGCTTTTTAGCCCTTTTCTTAATGCTTCTCATGGCCCTTCACGGAGGCCTGGCTGTAACTCTGAAAATAGAACACATCAATGTATTAGCATAGATCAATAATCGGTAAATTTAGAAATAATCAGTAAATTTAGAAAATTCTATTGAACATAAATAAAAGAACCGCATTGCTTCAATAAAATCACATTTAAGCGAAGAATAGCGTCAGAATATATGATTATCTAAAAGTGAATTAGGAACATAAAAAACATTACTAAAATTAACACAATATGTATTAAAAGAGCGTATACTTCGAAAATGAGCGAGTTATTCTATCTTTTGTAAAAGGTAAGTAAAAATACTTATTCTAAATCCCGATCGCTTCAAAATTACAAGTTTCAAATCTAGAAGCAATCCTAGAACGTTTAGAAAGTTCCTTGAAAATATCAGTATGACTAAACGGAAACCGGAGGATTAGTTTCTTGGCTACTAAAGAATACAAATAAACAATAATATGTTCGTAATCAACACTTCTTGTTTATGTTCAACTTTGTCTTCGTTGCTTTCGAAGATATATAAATCCGGTTCTTATTATTGGGATCTGGATCTTATGATTAGGATCCAGATCTTATATTAGGATCCGGATCCAGGTATTAACTCTAGTTTTTTAAAACCAATTTTATTATTATTGTATTCATCTCTTTAAAATAATTCTAACAAGCCCAAAATCATCTAGATCCAATTATGGAATTACAAGATATTGCACTATCAAGTAGTGATATACCTTATAGGTAGAAGGGATTGGTTAGCTCATGTCTAACTAATCCCTCCTACCTATTGGGTGCGTTACTATTTGACAGTGCAATATTTCGTAATTCTATGATTGGATCTGAATGATTTTGGGCTTGTTAAAATCATTTTAAAGAAATGAACACATTAATAATAAAATTATTTTAAAAAAACTTCTAGATTAAAAGTTATTTAATCTTAAAGTTTTTAAAAAAACTAGCTCTAATATAAATTTCCAAAATCAGCCGATATGAGTAACTTTGGTGACAGTATATAAGAACAAGATAAAAAAGAATTTAAAACTGAAATTTAATAATAACCTATCATTAAAGTTGTCACTGAAATTGTCACCAAAGATTTTTTGGTAATAGATAGTATATATCAAATTTGTTTTAATTAATATTTTTTACTAGAATGAAACAGGTACCAATTTTTTATTTTTTATTTTTTTTAATCTTTAAAGGTGAGGCCATGCCTCTATCTTTATTAAAATCCAATTAAACTTCTTTACAAATAAAGATAAAGAAATTATATTATTTGAACTTTATATTTATAAGATACTAAGACTAGAGGGTACCAATTTTTTATTAGAATGCAAGCAGATCTATTTTAAATGCATTTTAGAATAGCAAATGTAAAAATTATAATGTCAATAGTATAACCAGATAATACTTTTCAATAGTATTTATATAACATACTTAATAATATTTTTGATAGCATAATCCAATAGCGCCAAAATATACAATCAACTTTTTCCGCTAATCCTCTGAACACAAATTTGACATAAATAAAAAATCAACAAAACATATATTTCATTAAAGAAAACACAGTTCGCAGTACTAAGTAAAGAGAAAAAATACACAAAATAATACCTAGTCTCTTAAGAGACAAAGATAAAAATATTAAAACTTTAGACAAAAAAGAAGAAAAATGGCAAAGAACTGACAAAATTTCGCTCTTTACAAGTAATTTTTAGGAAATAACACTTGATCTTATACTGCAGATCTGTTGTTATTATACAAATAAAATATACATCAAGAAATAAACAAAATAATCTAATTATAAATTACGTGACAGATGTAAACAGAGAAATAGCATTTAGGAACTCGGGTACTGAAGAAAAAGAAGATTCTAGTAAACAAAATAAAACTGTAGAAACATTAGATAAATCAATAGAAGATTATTTAGAAGAACTGGAGCTTTATAATGACTGGATGGTTGACCTTAGAAAAAAAAGAGAAGAACAATAAACACTTCAAAGAAGAGATATAGAAGAAAGTTTAATCTAACAACTTGGACAAGAAAATTTACACTTTCTAATACAAAATAATAGAAAAGAAGATAAGGAAAATGTAGAAATCTCGACAAATACAGAAGTATTTGATATACAGATAGAAGATTACATAGAAAAATTAGAACAAGATAAAGTATGAATCCAAACTCGTAAACAAGAAAGTTTAGAGCAGAGATCACAACAAAAAAAAAAGAATAGAAGATTCTTTTCAACAAATTGAAGAATTATACATATATATTGTAGAACCAAACTAAGAGGAGAAGAGAAATATCAAAGTGATAATCTTTAAAGAAGAAGAAAAAAGAGAATATAATGAGAATAAAGTAAAGAATTCTATAGACAAAGAAGAAGTTTTATCTAACAATTACTTAGAAGAATATTTGAAGAAATTATATCAATACAAAAAATGATAACAGGTCTTAGAGAAAGAAGAGTGAAACAAGAAGAACTACAAAGAAAAGAGAAAAGAGAAAACCTCAAGTATTTCTATGAAGAATTAATAAGAAGTTACCTTCAATTACAAAATATATTAGAAAAGAGAATTATAGATAGTAAAGGAAAAGAAGCTAATCAAATAGAAGACAATTTGAAGATATTATAGAAGAAACTTTTAGAGAAGATTTTAGTAAGTTCAGAAAGATTTCTAATCCAAACAAGAAGAAGTAAGAAGACTAGAACAAACTGGAAAAGCAAAAAGAAAAAAGCAAAGAAGAAAACTCTATTACAGAGTAGAGAATCTTTAACAACTAATGAAGAAGATAAAGATAAAGATGAATAAAAGAAAAGCATTGAAGAGTTAAGAGTCAAGTTATCTGCAGAAAAATATAAAGTAAAATAGAAAAAGAAAAAAAAGAATATTAGCTTAGAAATAGATAGTATAGTATTTTTACAAAAGAAAGATATTTTAAATGGCCAAATAGAATTAGGATTAGATAGATTAGAATTAGGTAATAGTATAGCAGAAGGGTATTTAGGTAAACTTAACTCAACAAAACTAGATTGAGACCTCTTTAAGGTCTACAAGGCTTCCAAGGCAACTTGGTAAAAGCCTTCTAGGCAGAGATTATAAAACTTTATCTAGTGTAGCAGATTGCTTTTGGGCATCCATAGAGACAGCTGAGGGATGTTGAGTCTAGATATTAAGCTCAACATTATGTAACTAGTTTTATATAATAATCTTAATAAAGGATCACTAGCAAGATTACCAAAGAGAAAAAAAAAAAAAAAAAAAAGATAGCATAATCCAATAGTATATACATGATAGCATTATTAATAACATTTATATAATATTTTTAGCATACATATTTGGTAACGGTTTTACTAAATCACATCAGTGATGCTAATACCACATCAATTTTGACCAATAAAATTATTGATTTGCAGTGTAATGTTAAGATCAGGTATAACATAAAATCAAAACAATCTTTGTTTTTTTTAAAAAAACCTTTAATAACTCAAAATTTTGCTTATAAAACCACCTTTTATATTCTAACAAAAAAATTTTCTTGCACAATTTTGCTATATATTTATTTTTCTTTATAATTCTAGCTATAACCCTAACCTAATATAAGCTAAATTTTAAATTGTTTCTTTAATTTTTTGTTTATTTGTTTTGATAATGATCTTCATATTACACCGCATACATATATAACTGGTGCTAGCATCACTAGTATATTTTAACATAATTGTTTAGTAATATTAATTAATAATATAATCAGATAGTATGTATATAGTATGATTGAATATAGCAGTATATTTTTTTTATAAAATGGCTTACAACGAAAATTGGCTATGATCACCAAGCTAGTATACATTATATTATATGTGGATGATGACAAAAATTTGGCACAATTATTATTTGAGTGATGTAAAAAATAAAAATTAAACATCAAGCTACCTGCATATTTTGATGGCTCTCGAATGACAAAGCAAATGCAAACTATAGTCACCTAATAAGCAGCTATAAACATCTTATTTTTGATAAAACAAATGCAAAATGTATATCACTTAAATAATAAAGCAAATATATTTGCCTCATTACATCTGAGTTTATTATAATCTAATTTAAGTTATTTTTTGTTTATATAAATAAAAAACAACTTATGAAATTAAAATTTAAAACCAAAATTGTTTTTAACCTATTTTATTTAAAGGATAAAAAATTTTTTGATACTTTTTTTAAAAAGACAAAATTATAAAAAATATAATTATTTAAATTAAATTTGCTTTTATATAAAAAAATTTTAATTTGCTTTAATGAAAACAAAATAGAGGTTTTTTGAAAATCTATTTTGATGATATGTATAGTTTAGTTATACTAGCTTTGAGTATAGTCTATTCTAGTAGTTACTATTAAAAGTTTATATTACTTTTCTACTTAAATCTTATCAAGAAGATGTCTGTCTTTCTAGTTTTTTAAGTTTATATAATTATAAGATCTTATTTTAGATTTGTATTGTCCAAAACTATCTTGCATATCTTTATATAACTTATATATTATATAAATACTCTATAATTTTCTAATATGTTAATATCACTAAAGTTACAAAGATTCTATTTTAACTATTTGTCAAAAAACATTAGCTATCATACAAGCAGAATATTTAAAATTTGTTATTAATAAGTTTTAAACCTCCAACTTGTCAATATACTGCTTAAAGATATAACAACTTAACTATTTTATTAAGTTTTTTTTTTAATGTTAAGATGATCACTTTGGAGTTTGACATATTTATTAACTTCAGTTTGAATACCAGGATAGCTATATGAGCTACTTCTGACTTTATTACATTAACAAGGATATATTTTAGCTATGCTTGTAGCTTTTAAGTGTTTAATTTAAGTAGTTTGCCTATTACTAAATTCTATACTAGATGCTGTACTTATAACTCACTATTATTTAGATTATCTAATTAAACTCTCTGATTAACTTAGTGTTATCAACAGATATTCTTCTCAAAGAAGAATTGCTGCTAAGGCCTCTTAGAATTTTAAAGCAGACACACACTATTATATAATGTAGAATGTTCTTTATCCTTATAGTAAACCTACTAAAGCAGTTCATGTTCTATACATGTATTACCTAGATTTTTAGTAACTTATGCTTTGACCACAGCCAAGTATTTGTGATATTTTATCTTCACTATTGTTACTTACTTTTTGCTCTTACAAAATTCACACAAACTTCAGCACCCACTTTATAGACTATTAACAGTACTTTAATACCAACTGTCAATATTCTAAACTTTCAATCCAGATAGCCTGAAAGAGATCAGTAGGCATCTCCTAGTATTCTGAATGAATCTTTTTTTCTCTGGTTATCTGGTGGTCTGATTAGTATAGTGCCTTGCCAAACATTTAGTCTTTATTTAGTTTAACTTTGGTGTTCAGTTCTTTATATAGTGCTAACAAAGATCTGCACTACCTTTCTACTCAGGACTTTCTAAGCAGACTTCTGTATCTTTTAATCTCTTGGATTAATTTGACTACTTCATTTGTAATTTGTATAACTCATATGTTATACTATTATTCTATAACCTTTTAGTACAAGCTAGTATGACCAAGGTTATAGATGCTAACTTGATAAATATATCATATGAATACCACCAAGAGAAAACCTGCAATCAGCCTTTCAATGTTCAGTTTGTTTTCTGTGTGCTATCTAGAAATAGTCTATCATCAGCTTTCAATTATATTTTGACAAAACATAATTTAAAGCTCAATGATAGATTTTCTCTAGCTGGTGCACAGAAAATAAACTGAATATTGAAAGTCTAATTACAGGTTTTTCTTTAATAGTACTTATATAGTCTGCTGTAACATATTTCGCAAATTTAAATTTTATTGCTAATGGAATACAAACTCTTGTCCTGCTGCTTGGAGATGTAACAACTTATCAACTTCACTAAGTTGTCATATTCTTACTACTTTACTAAGTTATTACATCTATTTATAAGTAATTCTATATGTTTTTGTTATAATATTATATATACAGTACAATATAAAAATTTAGATGTAACAAATTAGTTAACTAATATATAGTTTTTTGAAAAATAAATAATTGTTAACAAAAAATAGTTATTTTAAATTTTCTAACTAATATATTATATCTGATTTTAAAATTTAATAACTCTATCAGAAGTTTAGCAATAATATAATATAGTATATAAAAATAGCTAATTAGAATATATAAAGTTTGATACATATATATAAGAAAAAAAATCCAAAATTAGTATTTAAATTAGCTTTTAGATATTAACAAAAATATTAAAAGCATAGTTTTATAAATATAAATAATTTTCAAAACTCTATAACTACAAACCCTAAACAAAACATAACATTAACCAAAAAAGCTTATCTAAATATACCAAAATACACCACATCATATTACTGCAAAGTGTTTATACTTCTGATGAAGTTAAATATAATTAGTTATGCTATATTAAATTATGTGCTAATGAAAATTTGGTGATAATCTAGAAGTAGTTTGGTTTAAGACAACCCAAAAATAAAGAACATCTAAAACAAAATAAATTATATAATTAATAATTATTGAATTCACTTTAGAGTCAGAGTTATCTTATATTAGGGTTAAATTAGATTTTAAATAGTTATATATATGCAAAATTGCTTTTCCAACATTTTTGCTTAACTTATTCAAAATAGGTTTAGATTAGTATAACTGATTTTTTAGCAAAATAGTAAAAAACAAAACTAAATCTGACAAAAAATGAAACTAGGTGAAACTCTGATAAAATCTCTGAAAAGAATCAAAACTTAAAGAAGATCAAATCCTTTAAGATTTTAGAAAAGACTGGGCTATATTAGTAAACAAAATATTTTGCATGTGGTTATTAAGCACAACATGTATCTTAATTAAAAATGTACAAAAACAATAGATTACATATAGTATAGGTGGGCATATAACATGTGATAACTATTAATATGACAAATATATATATTACACAAAAATATATGAAATTTCTATAAGAGTATATGATTAACATTTATATTCTTATATTACACTATAGTACTTTAATATAAATGAAATATTATCACTTTGTTTATCGTTTTGGTTGATCTAGAAAATTCAAAACCTAAAATCTTGTTTTCTTTTAATAATGCTAATCTATGTATTAATATTATTTATGTAAAATAAACCTATTTAAATATTTAATTAGATTGTTGAGATTTTTTCTTTTTAATATTTCATTGTTAAAACTTTAATTAAATACTATACATACATCATACTTATGTAACAGATAAGTAGTTCGTTAATGCTAATATGATTTCCAATGCTCCAATTTATCTAGTTCTAAATCTTTGGGGTATATATTAATTTGCAAATCCGTGTGATGTGTAAATCAAAACAAATTTGCATAAAATGAAAAATTAAGCGTAGCCTAAAATTAGGGTAAGGGCAGACTTGGGGTTAATTTGTACCAAAATTTCGCAAGAGATTTTTTTTATTAGTACCAAAGAAAAGGTGGTTGCATAAGAGTTATAAACGGTTTTTTAAAGAAAGCAATAATTTTATGTTATAACTGATCGTGTAACCTGATTGGCTTTTTATATATCCATGTATATACTGTAGTGTACAAATAGAAATTGCCTATAATAAAATTACCAATTTTTATTGTATAAAATATATATATTGTAACAAATATAATATGAATCATATATAAAATTATATAAATATAAATATATAAATAAAAATAATCATTATAAAAAAGCTTTGATTGTCTTTAATTACCTTTTTATTCTTGCTTTTTTAATTAATTTTATTATCTTTCACTAGTTTCACCACCTTTTAGCAGTTTCACCAGTTTCACCAGTTTCGCCATTTCGCCATTTTAATTTTTTATTGGAGAAAGTCGAAACTAGGTTTCGCCATTCGTCTGTGACGAAACCTCTAAGTTTCGCCTGCTAACACTAGTTTAAACTGCTGTTTTTTGTATTTCTCAGTTTTTCATTTTTCTTGTATTGCTTCATCAAAATTCTATAATCTGATTGGCCGATAGTCGCATGATTTATCTCCGCTTTAAATAACCCCAAAATGGGGTCGTTTAAAGCTTGACACCTTACGAAATTACTCGATATGTGTCACGGATTATTCCGAACAAACCGACAAAGACAAAACACGAAAATATAAAGTAAAAGTGCCGGAAATATGATTTTACTATATATCTATTAACCTCCTAGCTTATGTCTAACCCTAACCCTAATATTAATTAAAAATCGGAATATGCCTGACTGAATTTATAAAAATTGGCGCCATAAGAAAAACTGTTCTACATAAAATTCCATTGATCAGATCTGTTTGTAGAATATAGATGCAGACTTATGACATCACCTAGTTACTTCCTATATAAAAAATCGGTTTATAAAATAGAATGCAATTGAACCGTAACTAATGACACGCATCTATACTGTAGAACTAAATTACTCTTATTTTCATTATTCTTGAGATAACTAAAATTCATCCTAACTTTCGTTTCTTTCTGAAGAATGTGCTCTATATCGGACTCTTCCGGGTCTTTATATTAAATTTAACGCCTTGAATATATCAAGCCAAATTTGGCACATTCAATGCAAGTAACTTGCGCCATATAAAAATTGCCCATCCGTAACTTGAATGGAATGTTCTTTCGATGGTGAAAGATATTGTTGTAAGTGGAAACGGAATTTAAGTGGATTCGGAATTTATATAAAAACCCCGTTTTGGGGTTAACTAGGAAATTCAAAATCCACTTAAATTCCATTTTCACTTACAACAATATAATTGATTTCAGTTCATAAAATGTTTTCGTCATCCAAAAAATATATTTGCCATCCAAAAATAATTTTGGCAAAATATTTTCGCTATATTAAAATAATTTCGACATACTAAATTATTTACGTTTTAGGCAGTCAAAAATAATTTTGGAAATCTAGATTTACGCCAAATGCAAAATATTTGGACACCAAGTATACGTAGCTGAATTAACATTAAGTAATAAGTATCAGTCAGTTATGTCTATAGCAGAATATCACGCGAGCACTTTGCTATGGTTGGTCTATTTAAGACATAGGATCTTTGTATCTGTACCTATTAGCCAATAAACTTCTAAAAAATGATCTGATATTCTCAAATTAGGTATTATTATAATGATTTACCGTTACTAGTCAGAATAAAATCCATTTTTGGTAGATTTGTTTCACAGAAATGAACCAAATATACAGTGCAAAATCCAGATATTAAGAGAATTACCAAATATATACAGTATAATGCATTAACGTTAAATCATCTATATAATTTTGCTGAAAGGTCGGAAGTCGACCCGGAATTTTGGGACCATTTTGTTGAAGTGATTTTCAGTTGTAAAATGTGTACGTGCACGAGGAAATGATGATACTATATGATGGTAGTCTAATCCAAATATGTTGATACCTCCGGAGCAATTTCGAGTCAAGTTAAATGATAAAAAAACGTTGTTGTTGCCAATTTAAATTATTATTCATTTTATCTTGAAAATTTTATCTAGCGAAAAAATTACGCTCGTTTGTCAATAATTTCATACCCAAATACCTCATTCCGTCATCTCATTTTAGCCTTTCATCCTAACTCCATAAACATTTGATAGAAATTTTTTCATACTAAAAAAAAAAAAAAAAAAAAAGTACAATGGATATCATTGAATATGATAATGAATCTGTGGATGAGTACATGGATCAATACTTGGAAGGTGAAGGTGAAGGATCAGGCGGGCATCACGTAAGATTTGTAGAACCTGAAAAAGAAACACCTCAATATTATATGGAGGAAGCTAAACAAGCCCTAATCGATTTGAAAACCGTAATAAAAGAGCCCGGTTGGAAAAAGATGCTGTCAAATAAATATACTACAGTTTATAGTAAATTAGGATCTTTAAGAAATCAAAAACTTCCGGTATTTATGGGTCAATGCGAAATTCGGGGCTTTGGTCCGATACCAATTTTTACTATGATCGGAAGGAGAAGGCTTTGGGATGACTGGTAATGATTATTCATCTTACTTTATGGAATAAATGCAATAAATGATGATAGTAATAAATTTCATTTGATTTAAAAAATAATTATAGGTTTGAGGAAGGAAAGGTAATTGAAAGTTTGGACGATACAACAAGCTTAACATATATGGTCATGCAAGGAATTTCTGGGTCAAGGTAAATCATATATATATTAAAAGGTTGCATACGGAATTGCATTATTAATTTGTTCTAAAAAGATAAATAAACAAATAACATAAATAAAACAGGACACGAGATGTATCTTTGGTGGAAAAAGTTGAATGGACTCCGAATGGAACGATCTATTTTGTATTTACATCGGTCAATACAATAAAAATACCACCTGTTGCTGGTAGAATTCGTTCAGCTCTCAGTCTCAGCGGCTGGATCCTTGAACCTATTTCTAGCAATCCACCTAGTACAAAAGTGACGTATATTCTTCAACTTCATGTTAGAGGATGGATTCCTTCGGTAGTTGCGAAAAAGTATTTGGCAAGACGTCCTCTTATAATTAATAAAATCTATAGTTATTTGCAAAAGCATGGTGCACCCGAAATGTCCCTTCCTCCTACGCCGACAGAATCCAAACATACGACATTGCTTCTAGATAATAATGAACTTTCAAATAATAAAATTTTGGAGCCACTGGCAGCTGTAGATAAAGAACAAGATGAACCAAAAAGTAATAATGAAGAAGAAAATTCTAAACTCATACCTAAAGATCTTGATCAGCCACCTGTTTTACTCTCACCATCCGAACTTACTCCTTCGATACACCAACCAACTTCATCGTCTGAAAATCACCCTAAATTACCTCGACCAGAATCAAAAGAACCGATCGTAAACCAACTAATTCCATTGTCTGAAAATCACCTTAAATCGCCTCGAGAACCTAAACCAGAATCAAAAGAGCCGACCGTAAACCAACCAATTTCATCGTCTGAAAATCACTCTAAATTGCCTCGAGAACCTAAATCAGAAGCAAAAGAACTGATAGTAAAAAAAGCAGAATATCTTCATCCTCATCACGACTCCGCGTTGAAGGCTCTCGAGTTGCTTAAATCATTGGCAAAAGACCAAACCGGTTGGGAATTATATTCAGAAAATAAAGGAATCAAGGTTTACCAGAGGGAAAATCCTAGTAGACCTTTACCATCCATGCGTGGAGATGTTACTATCTACGGAAATTTTCTTCCAGATGACGTTCTCTCATATGCCACCTCTTTAGGCGCAAGAAAATTGTGTAGGTTATTTACAAGATACAAGATATTTTTATTTTTATTTTTATTTTTACGAAAATAATTTATTCTTGTCTCTATAAGAGTAGTTCATTCTTATTTTTATAACTTGAATATCATTGCAGTTTATTCTTATCTTTACAACTTAAATATCATTATAAATTCTCAAAGCTGCATAACTTATAATACTTTTAAAGTTTGGTATAACCTTATATTTTATTGACATCTTGTACACTACATAGGGGATGATCGATACGAGGATGGTACTACGATTGAACGATATGGTCCTAACGCTGTGCTTACTAAATCGGCTATGAAGGGTACCTTCCCCATCAGGTAAATGTGTGATACATTCATTAGTAAAAAAATATTTTGGCAAAATATATTTCTCACAATGCTAATTAAAATAATTTTAATTTCTTTTTTTAGTGGTCGTGATTTTGCAATGATTAGTATGATTGATCGTGATCCGGATGGTACGGTCTGGTTTGCAACCACGTCGATTGTTGATCCCAAAATTCCCGAAAACAAAAAATATGTTCGAGCAGAATTAATTCTCGCTGGATGGGAATTACGACCCGTTTATGCTAGTGCTGGTAATAGAATCGCAGTTGATGTTAAATATATTGTTGATACTGATATTAAACTTGAATCGATTCCAACGAGAATTCTCAAGTCAATCTCAATGCAAACACCAATGTGCGTTGCTAAAATTGATGAATTAATGAAAAAAATTGGATTTCCACCGTATGTTCTATATACAACCGGAACAATAATAGAAGAAGGTTTTAATCCCGAAAGCTATCAATATGATTCAACAATATTAAATACTGAAGAAAAAAGGATCACTGAACTTCGAATATCTAATAAAATGTATCCTAATGGCTTTAACATTTCTATTATACCGAAGGAAGTCAAGGTTGACTTGAATCCAGATGATAAGGAAATTATCCGTATCGTTGTTCCGGTCGATATTAATGCAGAAAAATTACAAATAAAACTAGTTAAAAATACATCTAATGATCAAATTACATGTAATGGAAAAAGAATATCAAAAATGAAATCTAAGAGCGAAATTAAGGACAATGAACTTAGCAGGTCAATCAAAACGAATCCAGCTGTTACACGAATGCAATCTGTAACCATCCAAAATTCTAACTTTCCTAAAGGTAATAGAATGACAATAATTGTCGCGGCTGATGCTGGAAACGGCTGAAGCTGGAAATCAGGGACCCTGATTTAAAAATATAAACCCTGC